GGGTGTGCTTTGAAGCCTCTGATCCCAGAAATGGCAACCGTGCTGCTCCCAGGCCTGGCCTATCCCCACAGCCACAGAGAACCTGCTGAGAGTGGGGGCTGGGCTGCAAAGTGTAAAGCGTCTGTGTGTGTGTTCTGCACAGGGAAGCCCTTGGCACCAGGACCAGCTTTCCAAGTGCTAATCACTCGAGTCAAAAGCAGGAGAGGCACTGCTCCGACTCCAGGTAATCAAGGTTAACAGCATCAGTGCATCTAGCAACCCTCTGGTGCCGGGGACTGGCAAGGTCTGGCTGCACAATGCCCCAGAAATTCTATTATGTGATGTGCCCAGATTCGTGGATTATGGCCAAAGACCATTTTGTAACATGAGAACAACATCTGCTAGCAGGACAAAGGAGGGTGAACTGTCTCAACAACAGGTTTCCTTGGTATTCTAGAATGTGGGGAAGGTGGGGGGCCAGGCTTCTCCAATGCACCGCCTGTCTTGCCATTCTGGAGATACAAACCACAAGGTCCCATGGTGACGCTGAGTCTGACAGCTCAGAGCGTGGCGTCCTTCTCCCAAAGTGTAGGATTCAAGTTAGCAGTTACAATGCTCACACTTTCCCTAAGAGTGATTGTTTATCTACATACTGTGACAGTGATTCGGGTGCACTCTTAGACCAAATGGAAGACATTCTTGTTTCTTGTTAAGATGGGTAGGGGCAGTCTGCAGGCCGTGTTTGGTCCTGCGTGTCTCCTCATTTACAGAGCCGATCAAGGACAGAGCCCTGTGCACACACCTCCATTGTAACCCAGCCATGAGGCGGGAGTGATCCTCCAAGGTCTAACTTCTGTAGGCCTTACACGGTCTCCAGAGTTGTGTTTTTTTTTTTTTTTTTGGCCATCTCAATGTACAGCAACCAAGTCTGCCAGTAGTTTGACAGTCATCGGAAGGCAGTGAGGGTGAAGCCCTGAGATTGTATCTTTGCACTTATTGCTCCTCCTTACGGGGTGGGGATAGCTTGCCGAGGTTTTCAGAAATGTTCAGGAAACAAAGCCTTTGAAGTGTGGACATAACGGGTCTGTCAGTTTCTAACGTGGGCTATAAGTGCACTCGGCTCTGCACAGTTAGCTTCCAAACTGCCAGGTGTTCCTGAGGGCATGTGCTGGGGACAGGGCTCAGAAACATGTATGCAGCCAGCAGCATCCGGGTCTGAGTCCAGGGCCCGCCCCTCCACCTGCGGCACACATTGTCGGGACACAGGCTGCCCAGACGGCCCATCTTCCATCTGTGGTGAGTGCCATCCAGACCAGGCAGCAGACCTTCTCTGGCCTGTACCTCATTTGGAAAGAAATTTTTAAAGCTCTCTTATCACTGTGCAATCCTTCAGTTGTTACCCCTGTACCACCTGCCATTTCAGTACCCCTGAACTTTGCCCTCCACCTGTGAGTGAGACTGCCCTGTGCTGGCTCCTGCTGGGTTTAGGTGGACACTCAGGGCGGATGTGCTCTGTCGGCAGCATGGCTGTTTGCTGACCACCCAGTTGTCTCAGGAGAAAGTTTGTCTGCAAGCCCATTGTGCAAGCAGAGGATTCATAGACCTGGCTGTGGACTGCTAAAACTCTGTAGTGGCCAGTGTGTGTGATGGGCGGAAGGCTGGCATTTTCCCAGAGTATCCTTGGGGGCCTGGCTGCTTCTTCTGACCTGGACTCAGCCACCCATTAAGGTATGCCAATCTAAAGGGCTTCTTGGCAAGATGAGTTCAGGGGCTGCTGCCCCAGCTTTAGGCAAGCCCAGGAGCTGCACTGAAGCAAGGCCAGAAGTTGTCTCTTGCTTAGAAAGGCTAAAAGGCTGGCCACATTGAAGATACCATAGCTTAGCGACTTCAGAGTGGAAGTTTGGCAGATGCATTTTCTGTGATAGTCTTGGTTCCAACCATTTCCAGAGAAGCAACCTAGGAATTCGTTCCAGTGTGGAAGGTTTCTAATCTTGTGTGCATCATGTAACCCTTGGTGACAAAGGAGGGTCTGAAATCGGCCAACTATGGGCCACTTAAGATATGTAAAGGAAGAGCCCTTTTCCAGTGTGTTTCTGGAAGCCCCTTCCCTGTCCTGTGGTAAAGGTGGCATTATACCAGTTCTAATGCTAAGCTAACTAGTGCTTTAGTAGTTCCTGGTATGACTGAGCAACACTCGGTAAGGGTCATAGTGCAAGCAGTGACTGAAATTGCCTGCTGGTGCTAATTGCACCAAACAACATCAGGAAAAGACCTGCATTGTCTGCCGAGCCTCAGGGCCTGCTGTGGTCCAGCATTGAGGGGCAACTTGACCACGAGCTCTGAAACCACTGTGCTCCATGCTGGAGGTCATGCCTCTTCCTCTGGGCACTTTAGTCAATGCCTTTGTTACACAAAAGATCTTAGCAAGTTGATGCCTTTTATAGAGTATGGTTCAGAAAAGAAAAGGCAGAATGTGACATTTTAGGGCCATTTGGGTGTCTTGGCACACTTCCAGTCGTGAACAGAAATAAAACAAGTGCAGTTCTACACATTGTTCTCTGGAGGGGACAGTGCAGCGGACCCAGTCGCTATTAATACAGATGAGAAGTAGGCTTGTGAGTCAGGTTCAAGTCGTCTATCCGATTTTCCCTCTGGTCTCCTTTCATGTAACATGTGGTAACCACTGCCTCCCAGTGTCTTAGTCTCGATATCTGGTTAAAGGTTTCGGTTTCATATTCACAGCTGGCATTACATAAATGTAGGCAGAGGTGTGATTTCTTCTGAGCAGTGTGAGGGTAAGAAGTTTCGGGAGGATGGACATGCTATCATTTCAACCACAGTCCTCTTCAGCAGTTGCAAGTGTCTTACTGTAGGCCAGTAACCATCTAATGCCATCCACATAGCTGGCTGCTCACTCCTTGATTCAGGAGTCACTGCCCCATGATACCTGCCCACAGGTAGGAATCGTCACTGCAACATTTTAAAATACATGGAAGCATTTCCCAACATCAGCATCCAGAAATATCAAATAAGCAAAACTTTATCTTGTAGTGATCTCGTCCTACCTTATTGTCCTCTGCAGAAGCCACTGGTAGGTCTGTTTTGTTTGTGAAAGGTTTGGAAAGTCAAAGTGGCAGATCTTCCACCCACTGGATCAATCCCCAGATGGCTTTGAAAGACAACACTGGGCCAAGTTGAAGCCAGGAACCCAGAGCTTCAGCTGAGTCTCCCTGCTGTGTGGCAGAGGACAAAGGACCTGCACCATCTTTTGCTGCTTTTCCCAGGCCATTAGAGGAAGCTGGGTCAGAATTAGAGCTGCCGGGGCACAAACCAATCCCCATAGGGTGTGCCAGTGTCACAGTAATTGGCTTTACCTGCTATCCCTTAACACCCCTCCTTGCCTTCCCTGTAGCTCTTGGGCAGGTCTTAAAAAAAAAAGACTTCAATTAGGTGCACAAGGGTGGTTTATTGAAGCTCAGCACATCCGAGCCTGGGTTCTTGGTTGAGAGCAGGCAGCTGGCTGACCGACCGGCCAACCAGCTGGCTGGGACCAACACCCCTTACCAGGAGTGTGGCCCCGAACAGCACATTCATAGGGTTTTTATTGGGGCAGTCCACAATAGCTTGAAAAGGGGAAATTCACAATAGTCTGCAAGGTAAGGGGAAATAGCACACACTCCCTACCTATCTTGGCTGGACAACCCATGCCTCCAGCAACTAAGGTAAGCACTCACTTAATTACTTGGAGCCACCTGTGAGATAACCAGACTTAGGTGGGCCTTGATTCATAAGAATTGGGACCCATCAGTGCTAAAGGTCACGTAGGCTGCTAAAGGTCACGTAGGCCTTTTGGCCTGGAAGCTCATACAGTTTCTTAGCAGCAATGAACCATGAACAAATGCTGGGGATTTTGGAACTGAAGTTCTTCATTCCTGATGTTTTCTGTTCATCCTTGCAGTGTTACTGTGCCTTCGGATTGATCTAGGTTACCAATTTTATGCTGCTCAGAAGAAGTTTCATATGTTCCGTTGCATTCATTATGTTCCAAAATTTGAGACTTAAAGGAGTTAACTTAAACTGACATCAATCTAGTCCATAGTCTTAAACTAATGCTTACTCTGACAAAGGTTGAAACCTAACAATTCTTTTACATCTAAGTTCTGGAGCTCAAGTATTCAAACTGGAATTTCTAACCAAACTCACAACCTGCTAGGTTGGGAAGAGTTATAACTATGTTTTGCCATCTAGACTTCAATAAAGAGAAACCTTTCAAGTGCCAGGATGTACATCGAACACCTGATGACTTCTACCTTCTATCAGGAACCTCTAAACGGACCCCTTACTGCTGCTGTTACTAAACGGCGCCCCCTCTCAGCAGGAAGTAGTTAAGAGTGGAGGATGACATCCCTTTTTCCCTAAAAGCAGTTGGGGTTCATTCCTCTGGGAATGTGAGGAGTCAGTTGGGATGATAGGCAGTTACGGTCTTTGGTTCCTGGTGAAGCTACCTTGTCTACGCTGATCATTCAGGGATAGTGAAGAATCAATGGTCAAAGTACCATAAGTCCTAGCTAAGAGAAAAAGAATGAGAACAGATGAAGATTTGAGATTTGATTTATACATCCCCCTGGTATACTACTTTAATCTCTACCCTACTAGGCCCCTTGATTATTCCAACACTTATGTATTAACCTTTGGACCTTGCATTAAGAAACAAAGACCTGGAAGCCATGATTGGCTCCCATGGTTACTAGTAGAATTTGAAGACTTAACATTAAAAAAATACTAACAAAATTATCTTATTAAAATTGTTCATATTGATCCTATGTTGAAATGCAAATAGACTGGGATAAACGCATTATGAATTTTCCTTCCCATGCTACTAGACAATTGTACATTATACAAGAGGCTCACCCTTGTGACTCCCGCATTTATTGGATAGTACTGCTTTGGACACTGATTAATGGAACACCAGTAATTGCTCTTCTGTTATGTTTGAGTCTTATTTTCCGGTCTTTCCCCAGGCACAGAAGTTGAAATCCAACGTTTCAGGCAGCACACACCTCTGCCTTTCTGATGTAAGTTGTGTTTGTTTTTACATCTCCGGGCCCCTAGGGAGGGATGGGATAGAAAGTGTTCAGAGACGGTGACAGCTAAGCCGGCTCCATGTGCACCTGCCCTCGGTGCAAGGCGCAGACTCTGGATCCAGCACACTGTCGTTTACTAAGTATGAGACTTCAGGGCTTTAGCCACAAAGGCAGCACAACCCTAATGCTGAAAGATGCTGAGCTTAAAATCCTGTGAAGTCAGAAGCACAGAAGCAGTGCACACCAGCTCTTGTCACTTGCCAGGAGTTCACTGTCCATCGTTCCTCTGACCCCCACAGTGAACCAAAGGCAGATTGGGCAGGTCCAGCTCACAGCCGTAGAGAGGGACCCTTTTGCCTGGGGTAGGGTAATTGTAGCTCATCGTGTGGGACCCAGTGTGGGTGCTGGGGCAAGGGAGCCTGTCTGGGGAAGGAGAGCTCTGCAGGCTGGGTTGGCTCTGAGGAGGGCAGGGTGAGGTTCCTGCTTTCTCTGACTCATCTGGGGAGTCTGAAGTTGAACTGGCTAGTGCCTGGTCTTTCTGACACTCTGTGACCTCTCTCTCTCCTCGGAATGAATGGTTCTGAACTAGTTCTGCTTGTCCCCTGCTGTGGAAGCTAGGGCAGTGAGCAGCCCTTCTGCAGCCTCACCACTGTGTAAGGTTAGGGACACCAAGATCACATAGTCCTCCTCCCTCCCAGGATGAGTTCTGGCTACCCATCATGGAGGGGCAAACAACAAGCCTTGAGCAGCTACAGGAAGTATCTGAATCTCACCCAGGTGCCTGGTTCCTTCTCAGACTCCCACCTCAGTGACCTGAAACCTCAACAGGCAGATATTGATTTAGCTTTGGTGGGTGGCTCAGGCAGCTCAGTGTGGAGTGTGGGGGGATGGAGGGGAAGGGTGCACCTGACCTGGGCTGTGGCAAGAGGGATGCACTCGGCGAGTGATGGTAATGAAAACGTTCTTTCTTACAGCGTGATTATGAAAAGGACGGTCTGGCTGGTGCTTCCAGCCACATAACCACAAGATCGCTGGCTGCTCCTCCAAGCTGTGCACTGAGCCCGCTGCTGGGCCTGCTGCTGACCGCCCTATTCTCTCTGTCTTTGGCAGAAGCATCGTAGCTGCATCTAAAGAAAGTAACATGGACATGTAAAAAGACAAAACCCAAGTTCTCAGTTTCTTGTCCTCTTGTATACCTAAAATCCCAGTTTTAGGAGCCCAGTTGAGAAACTAGTTCCATCTGACTGGAGCTTTGTCTTTTTGTTTTGTTTTTTCTTTTTACCTTTTTTTTTTTTAAACTTTTAAGACGACTTCCTGTGTTGCTCTGGGGGTTTCTGCAGAGAACTTGATGCAATGCTACGATCCCAACAAGGGCAGCTTTGGGACATGCTGTCTTGCAAAGAGCCAGTTTGTATACCTGACGGTACAGCAACCTGGGCCATGTTTTTCAGATGGAGATGAGTTGAACAGTTTTTACTCTGGCCTGTGCTAACTGGAGAAGGAGGTGCTATTGGTAATGGCTGAGAGTTCCGATGAGATAAACTACAACCCGTTAGCGATGACAAGATTTTGCTTTTTTTGTTGTTGTTGTTGTTTGTTACAAAGCAAATTCTCCTTAAGGTTGGACTTTGTGGAAACAAGCTTCTGCCAACGTTCACTTTTTTATATGTACTAACATGGTCCGTGCTAACATCCATGTACTGTAAACAGTTCTGCAATTGCCTGCAAAATGACAAAAGCAGCTGCCACATGCCAGTGTCGTATCTGTCTTAGTCAACACAGAGGAAGAGCAGGCTTGACGCCTCACAGCCCCTCGCTCACTCTCCTAAGCCTTACCTGAGAAGCCCGGAAGGAGCAGGTGTCAAGCGTAGCTGAGCATCACTCTCATAATCTTTACATTTACGAGGTTATATGTAGACAAACCAGCTTTCGTACTTAGATTTCAACTCTTGGCTTTGTGTAATTTCAAAGTAATTATATTGTCTTTTTTTTTTTTTTACTGATGGTTTAATACAAATTATGTGGAGCTTGTTTTGCTCTCATAAGTTAGCTCCAGTATTCACTCAACAAACACAACTCTTCAAAAGCAGGCTTAGGTTGGCCTCGCGATGCAGCTGAAAGCTTACAAGTGAGCGGGAGGAACCAGAGCATCCGCATGCAGTGTCCTGACATGCAAAGGCACTCACCTGGGAGATGACCATGGCAGTTGGCAAACGGTCCACAGCATCTCACGGCAGCCTTGCCATGGCCATGGTCCGCACTTGGGTTGGATGGGGACCCACTGCCTTCCCTTTTAAAGTAGATCCATGCCTGAGCACATAGTTCTCTTTCCAGGGATTGTCTTTGAACTTGACTGTGTTGCCCTCGCCACTGGTGGGAGCAGCTGGGGCTGCGGGTCAAGAAAGATCTGCTTGTGTCCTGGTCTCTGCCTTCTGCAGCAGGTGGTGGCCAACTGCACAGAAATGAGAGGAAGCAGTTAGCAGTCATGAGACTCGACGCAAGGCCTGGGGTCACGGCCTGTGTTGGCACAGCCGAGGACAGAACTCCAGTGAAAAAGGCAACTGACTTTGTTACCTGCACTTGTTCCCGGAGAGAACAGATGTACAATGCACACTGGAAGCCACATTTAGGTGACAAAGACTACAGCTGCCCGGGGCCGGTGGCCATGATTGTGCTACGTAGAGGGAAAAAGGAGACGCTTCGGGTTGGAGGGCTGTGGAGATGCAGCTTTCACCCCACCTGCTGGGGGGCTAGAGGAAGAAATTCATGGTGCACATTTCTCACCAACCCCCTTTACCTGATGAGGTTTGCCTTGAAAGATTAGTCACATCGCTGGGGGAGGGAATCTGAGATCCAAGATAAAGGCATAGTCTTTAAGCGCTCTTGGTGTTTGAAGTACACTTATAGCCCAATGTTAATAAACACAAATGTGTAATACTCACTATCGACTTTTTTCACGTCCAAGTGCTTAAAGGAAATTCATCAGACACACCCCACTGTATTTGATTAACAAAAAATTCCAGAGAGACTGAATAAATACATTAAATGTCAAAATATTGGGAATGCCAATCATCCACGAGGGCCTCTTACACAGCATATTGTTTTAAGGTGTATCTGTCTGCACTTGACTAATTACGCGTGGGTCCGAGTCTGATCCACAGTAGAGAGCTATTGATCCCTTCTGCAGTAACGGCGGCTCTGAGTAGCTTCAGATGACCAAAGAGGAAATAGCCTTTAGCGAAGAATGCATGGATATTCAACACATTCATTTTGAAAAGCCTCATCTGTCAAAGATGATTTTTCTTCAGAAATAACTTATCAAATCCTCCATTTGAAAATAAATTGCTGCTTAAGTGAACAGGGAGCATCTTGTGCAGGGACAACATGTATTAAGATATTGTACAGAAGTGAGCACAGCCAGCAGTTCTCCCATCTAGCAGGTTCTCCTGTTAACTCCCTCAAAACCCCATCATTCGTCCCCTAACTGGCTCAGGCCAGTGATGTCCGTCTTACCCGACTTCCTCTGGGAGTTTGTCCCTCATCTGGGAGACCAGCGAGTATGATGACCATCTAGTGCTAGTTCAGCCTCTTGAGAGGATGCACCTCATTGAATCTCAAGAAACAAGAAAGTGCAGTTAGACCACAGACTAGGCCCCCAGCTCGGGTGCAGTCACACCCCCTGGAGAGAAAGGCGATGGCGCGCAGGTGGTGAGAAGTACACTCCTTCCACTTTGACGTTGAGTGTCGTTTGCATTTGAGTGTCATTTCAACAGAGCACATGAAGGAAGAAGCGCACAATGGAGAGATGGGACTCAGAATGCCGAATGAGTATTTTTCCATTTCTGATTTTTTCCCCAAAGCCTCTAACAGAATAATTCTACATTGAGAATTCCATGATTTTTTCATTTAGCGTGGTAAAGTGTTTCCAGAATGTGACAGCAACATGGTTTTAATTCAGTTTTTTTAAAGTGTCTTAGAAGTTGTGGCTTTGAGGTCATCAGATAGAGGACAGGTCTCCTTGAGGGCCCCAGGGCCTCTGATTTGGTCTGTGCAAGGTCTGCTGCCGCCTTGCTTCCGCTCCAAGGGTCCAGAGCATCCAGCTGTGTCTCATTTGTCACATGCCACCTCCTGTCTATAGCAGACACTCCCAAACGCTCCATCTGCTGAATTAGGAAAGTGGGAGAGTGGATGCATTTTTGAGTCCGTGCAAAGTGCTTGGAAAAGGAACGTAAGAGCAGTGGGAATTTATGTAATTAGCAAATTCTTTTCTTAGAACCCACCATAAAAACGATTTCTGTTATTTACAAAACAGTGGCCTTGGTGGAGCTGTCTTTTGGAAAATAAGTTTTCATTCATAGCGATAGATATGCATGAGTTATTGGAGTCAAGAAACTGAGCCAGGAAAGGGCAGCATACAGCAATTTCCATGCTCTGCTTCTCCAACTCCTGGAGTCTCCGCTCTGCGACCCTGGATGCTCTTGCTGCTTCTCTTGGCTAAAGAAAATGACAATAGGTCAGACCCTTATTTTCCAGACAGACCCGGAAGCAGTGCCAACAGACTGGAGGGAATTGCCCTGGCACAGGCACTGTGACAACAGAAAGGCGCATCCATGGCAAGTTTGGAGAATTCTGGGACAACCCTGGTACAAGAAGAGGTCCACACATGTCATGCATTCGACTGATGACCGGAAGAGGCAACTTCTAACAAACTAGCCAGAGTTCCCCAAACTGGGCAGAGGTTCTTTTACAAAGAAGAAAGCAGAGATAATAGATGGAATATCTTCCTACAGATTGCTGAATTGAGCATCTGGGGATTGTGTTGGATGCCCGTAGGAGGTCCAGTTTGCTCTTATCCCTAAGATAACCTGTCTCGTGTGCCCATCTCTCCACTGCTGACTGTGACAGTGCTTTATTTCTCAAGCAATCATAGTGTTAAATTATATTCATGAGGATTCCCAAAAAAATAGTTTCACAGCAGAAGCCTTAACTCCCTGGTTCTCACCACCATCTCCAGCTGGGAATGTATCCAGTGGGGCATTTCATTCCCCAAGGTTCCTTGTTGGAATACTTTGACCGACTCTGTTCTTGCTTCTGATGAGCGTTAATCCTTTCACCGCCTCCCTATGCATTTCACAGGTCCTCTGCCCATCAAGTCTTCATCCTCATCACTCTAAATTTGGTCCTCAAACTGCTTTTCCATCCAGCACCCGTTTTGTCTAAGAGAGCAGACTCCCAGGAACTAGAGTGTCTAAAGATGATCATCCTCTCTCACTAAGAGATGCATGTCCTTATACCTCCAGGACCCACCCTTCTCCGCTTTGGGGTTTACTGTATACCACATCCTTGCCAGAAATCCCTTATCCTCCCAGAGTCAACACTTGGGCTGTCTGTCAGCAGGATGCACCAGCTGCACTTCTGTTAGGAGACCCGGCCCAGAGGGTTGGAGAAGGCACACAAACCCTACTTAAGTAAATTGCCTGCAGAGATCATCAGGGCCCAGCCCCAGGAGGTCTGCAAGCTCATTTGACCAGTGCAGCTGTGACTTGGGCTCTCTGCCTCTGGCAGGTGCCGATATCAGCATCTTGTCCCACTGCCATATGGAATTTGTTTTTGTTCAAGGGCAGCTGCCAAGCACAATAGGAGTATCAATAGTAGATAGAAGCTGTTTTCTTCTCTATCTCAGGCTTGGTTTTCCCTCTCATTCCATTTTGGGCTTGTGGATAAGGCAAGAGATAGCTGAGAAATAGGTTGAATCACCAGCCCCTCTCTTGGGTCTGCCATCTTTGTACACCTGCCTGCCTCAGCAGAAGACATGGCCCATACTGGATACTTAACACAGACTGGGTGCATCGGAGGGCTTCATACTGTTCTGTGCTAAGCCTCACACCTACTGGCATTGAGCTGCTGCCATTAATTTGTCCTCAGATTATGAAAAGACACCTGGGACAGTCTAAGAAAACCTCCTGCTGAGAGATGAAAAGCCAGCACTCCTCCCAGGGGGAAGGAGCTCAACCCAACCATCTGTCCCAGCACCTCAGCATATCTACCACAACAGACGGGATGCAGAGCGGGGTGGGCTTTGCAAGAAGTCAGCTCCCGAGTCTGCTGAGGCCTCATGCTGCTGCCAGCACTGTATGTTGACAGGAAAGATGGGCCACTCCAC